GGAAAAATTGATTTTCCAACTCCTTGTTGAATATATCGCAACGCCATTGCATCTTTCTTTTTATATTTCTTTTGTAACTTTGGATCTTCTTCATCTCCTTCGGTCGAATCGTCTACCATCTCATCATCTTCAATGACATCCCATAAATCTAAAGAGATGAAGGGTCTGTTTGGGAGGAATTTTTTACCCTAAAAAATTGATTTTTTTACCGTTATTTCACTATTCCAGCCGTAATTTTTGACTTCTTTTCTCACAGGTGGACCCCACTTTTCTTCTAACGGTCAAAAAATCAATTCTCAAAATCCCTCCCAAACGGGACCGAAGAAAGTTTGCATTTGACTACTCCAATATTCATAGTGCTCACCTTCAAAGATGGGTACTTGGTGAATAAATGAACAAGGAGGCTGCTGAATTTGTTGCATTAGCTGCCTAGTTTCTGTTAAAAATCTCCTCCTGCTACGGTGGTTTTTGGAGCTGATTTTGTTTCAACTTTTGGTAGGATTTGCTTTATGTATTTTGCCTAAGCTCTGACACCAAAATTTGTAGGGTGTAGAAGGAAATAGATAAGAGAAATATGAAATTTTTCTTATGAAATTTGAAGAATTACAAAGGAATTGCTACAGCATACTCTTTCTTTATTTTTTGAGAGATTTTTCTCACTTCTTCTACATACCTAACACTAGATGGATACCTCCCTATTTATAGAAAATATTGAGCAAACTAGTCTTACTAATTCTCTACAATTACAACTAGGTAAAAGCTGAAATTTTTCATCATTTACAGTTGGAACATATGTATTTGCAGCTGTGTTTGAAAGTGTCAAACGGATGTTGCCTGATGTTATTCTCAGATTGCAGAACATCGGAATGTGAATTGACTGCTGTCTATGTTAATTTCCAGCTTACATAAGTTGAGTATACAATTTGAATTGAAAATCTTATCCTTTGACCATTCAATGAATAAAGTCTTTGTTGGTTAAAGTATTCAATTTGGATTTGAACTCTTTGAATCTTCTTTTGTTGTTGAAGTTTCCAATTTGGATTTGGACTAGATGAAGATTACAAATTACTCTAGAACTTTTAACAGCTCTGTTGGCCATGCATGGGCTTCTTAGGGAGAATGTTGCAGTTCTGGATGACAACTGCTGCATTCCCGTAGATGAAATCGACTGTGCCATAACTGTTGCATTCGCCGTAGAATTGGCGATTGGAATGTAGGTAAAAAAGGAAGCTTAAAAAGCTGCATTTAAGCGCAACCAAAAATCCTATAATGGTATTTCGTCTATAGAAATTTGCAGTGATAGTTTCCTGCCTGAGCCAAACTACAAGTTCATTCAGCAATTTACATTGTTATTGTTGCATGATTATGAAGAAATTATATGCTTTGGAAATATGTGAAATGAATCTTTTGGTGTTTCAATTTAAGCTGAATTTAGAAGTTAAGAAATCAGGGAAAGCTGAAAGTTTATGCTTAGCAGAACGTGGCACATCTTAAGTGTTTAAGCTCAGATTTCTATAATTTGTTGAGCAGGAAAAAATCTTATATTTCATTTGATTAGGGGAGGAATTTGTTTTTTTAATGTCGAGGAAAGAATAAAGGATATACAGATGGATATTCATAGTTTAAGACTGAGGTGCAGATGGATGTCTGTGAGCTAAGAATGAGGCGAGGATGGATGTTCGTTGGAGTTCCATTGTGGTTCATCAGAAGAATCTAAAGATGGTTCTCTGGCTTGATGCTTTTTAGAAGTGCTAAATATTTGTTGCAACCACGTTGAGTAGAAGTAGAACTCAACCTTAAACCGACTTTAAGGATAGGGTGTCCAAGTGGTTCTAAACCCACAAGCTTTACTTGGCGATGGGACGGTCCAGCGACTTTTGAGGAATTAGTCATCTATTTGTACTAGACCACCCAAAGTCACCCATCGGTCATCCTCAAGTCTCTCCCAGTACCAATTGTTACCTATAAGAACACCCCATAAAAGAAGGGTGCCTGAGTGGTTATAAGTCCAAAAGTAAAAACTTAACTCGGCAATATTCGACAATCATTACGAGTTTGTGGACTTCCCATCTTCAAAAGCATAAGACCTTTTTTTTTGCCCCTTGAAGTCTACAGATGTTGAGAAATAAACTTCAAATCTTTTTTGTGTTCAAACCATTGATGACATTGTTGGATCAGTTGGACCAGAAGAAAAAATGCTAAACTCAATCAAACCTAGGCCTGTGTCGAAAGTCACCCGGAGGATTTAATATAATCCTGGAGTTGGGATGGGTAGTTTTATCATAGTCTAAAGTTGATGATAATGGGAAAAAATGATTGCCGATAGTCTTTGAATCTGTTCAGTTAGCATTTAATGTGCTAAGTGCTAGAGTATTTTGCTTCAACATTTTTTGTTATTTCTTATCTAACAGAGACTTGACCCTTTGTATTTATTCCAATATAAATTGTCTTTTATGGAATGAGAGTTAACAAAATAAACGATAATTTATACAACCATGCTCGATATCCAGGTTCAATGACAGATTTTCGTTTCCAGAAAACATTTGGCAATTTATAATTGGAAGTTGGAAAAGAAAAAGAAACAAAAACACTCAATCAAAATCTGTCAAATCATCCTATTTTTTGTACTCTGTTTTCAATTCCTGTCCAAGAAAGAGTACAACGCATTTCCCATGATCCTGAACCGATCGTATCTGGGATAAGTCTCTGTTAGTTTATAGAGGAAGCGGTCCTCTCGTGCCTTAAATCAACTAACACACTGGAATTCAGTGCTAGGGGCATCAAGATGCAAGTGCATCCAAACCTATGCGATGCTATGAATGAATTTTTCTTTCCTTCGAATTTGTTATATCCTCTAAATCTGCTTTTTTGTGCAAACAAAAATGTTTCTCCGGCATAGTTTATCTTTATTTTGTGTCCATATTATGGGGTAAAAAATCGAATTCGCTGGTCTTCAAATTTTTTTCAAAAAGCCAATGTACTTTTTTTTTAAAGTTTTTTCTTGTTAACTTTCTTCATCGTCACTCCTGATTGTTTGAAAAGCTAATGATTTTATTTACCGCATCATCAAATTTGTCATATTCCCAACAAAAGCAAAGAGGGTGACCGATAGAAGACAACGTTGAAAATATATATATATATTATTTTTTAAAATAATTATGAGTAACTACTTTAAAAGTACAATGCTCATTGAAAGGAGAGAATCTTTTATGGGGAGGTCGAAGGCACCTCGTCGGGGTGGCCTACCATCATCCCTAAGTGGTGGGTCACCTCGACGAGGTGGCGCATCATTATAGGGCAGGTGCACCACGTGGATGGTGCGCCCGCCCCACTGAAGTTTTAGCCCATTGATAGGTGATTCAAGTCGTTTCATTTTTAACAAAATATTTTCTTGTCGTGACTAGGAAATGGAAAATATTGCTTTAGTTTTATCTCCAAGTTATATTACAAAATGAACCGTAAACTTCTTCTCAACTCCTCGCTGACACTAAAACGGAATAGTGACAAAACAATGACAGCAAATTTTAAAGAAAAGACAAATTTGTTCATTCTATCGATAATCGAACTCGATTTTGTGCATCATAAGAATATTGAGACTTTTTCAAAATCTAAGGGTTATTCTCTTTATATTTTAGTTTTGTGTTTTGAGTTTTGAATTCATTTTGAATTTTGTGCTTTGAGTGTTTGTTTTTAAATTGTTGAAAATATGTTATTTTTGTTAGTTTCTCAAAACAAAACAAAAAATGAATTTTTTTTTTTTTGAAATTTTGAAAATCACCACAACACCACTTCAAAACACCAAAATAAATAAAAAATAAAAAAAAATTAATTAATTTTTAATTTTTTTTTTTTGAAATTTTGAGAATCACCACACCACCTCCTCAAATAAAAAAAATAAATAAATAAATAAATTTTTTCAAGTTTTACACTGAAAACGTCCAAAACGGCAAAAAAGTCGTTTCGTGTTTTCTTCACAAATTTTTTTTTCATTTTCGAAAATTTGTTTTCGAAAACAGGAAAGAGAACACGTTTTCACCATTTTGAAAAATCGAAAACAGAAAACGGTAAAGAGAACAGGGCCTGAGAGTCCAAATGTTCAATTAAAAAATATATCTACTAAACGTAATAACTTTTAACCCTCAGATTTTTAATAGATTTTAATTAAAATTTATAAAATGTGATTAAAATGTTTTGAATCCCAAAAAAATGTGTTATGAGAATTAATTATTGACTTCGACTAAATCTAAAATTCAGATCTATAACTTCTATCAATTTTTCAATCACACATTTCGTTAACTCTTATCAAAATCTATCAAGGGTCCAATTGAAAAGGATAAAAATCTATCAAGGGTCCAATTGAAAAGGCCTTTAAAATAATGTTTTTAAGGCTAAAAAGCTATTTTTGAACATACTTAGATAATCTTCTGAATGTACTTTTGATTAGAAGAACTTTTTGATGAAAGTCATCTAAAAAGAGTTGAGATTTGTCGTCCATTTTTTGTTGTCTAATTTGCCATCCACGTAATTGCAAATTAACACATCATGAAAAATCATTAATTTAATTTTTTCAAATTTAACATCAATTTTAATTTTCCATGACATGCCAATTGAGTGGACAGCAAATTAAACCTATCAATGAACAGCAAATCTCAACTCATCTAACAAGTATGTTCCTCATTAAAGTCTCTTACAAAAAGTAAACCTACCAAAAACTAAAACTTTCATCAAAAGTTATGTAGCCCCTCAAATAGCATGCAAATTGTGCCGGTAAATAAAATTGAAATTGCAAAAGAAAAAAATAATGAGAAAAACAGTGTAGTCTTGACACGAAAAGACATACAAGTTCTCTGATGGACCACCTAAAACGTGATGAGCATTACAGAAGGAAAATCGCTGAAAAGTGAAAAGAACAAGATTCTACAGACGACCCCACACCCACATTAATAATAATAATAATAAAACAACACTTCGCTTAGTTTATCACTTTCGTGAAAGCCAGCTGAGAAATAATGCACAATTCCATGCTATTTTCTACATAATACGAGTAGATACAATTAGTTGCTCGTCAAATCTATATTACAGCAGACCATTTCCTACAGACTCCAATAAAAAGAATTTCGTCAATCGATCCTGAATAAAATTTGTTCTTGACAGAAAGGATAACTGTCCATTTTAGAGGGACGCGAAAGCAGAAAACCAATTAAAAAAAGGGGGGGAATCCAGCCATAGCTGAGTAGCGAAATCGACAAGAAGCTGCTCGTTTTTCAATTTGTTAGTTCAGGGAATATTACAAAGTATAACACCGGATATAACTCCAAAGAATCCATGCTGTTTAAGCATGATCATACTGTGTCTAATGTCCCATTATAAAGTATCTCATTAAGCATCTCAAGCCTTCACATTGCAGGTATTCAAAATTTAGAGAAAAACCCTCGAAATTGGAAAGGCTGACCTCTTTGGGGCTGATTAAGAAGCACAAAGGTCCTTTAAGACCACTGCTACAACTTTTGCAAGTGCTTGAAATCCTGACAGTCTGCTCCAACTTCATTTAAAGCTATGAAAAGTTTTGGCACAATTTTATCCAGCATCAGCTTGAAACCAACAGAATTTAAGTTACCGTGGCTATTACTGCTAACAGAAGCATCCTCAGTGAGTGAGCCAATCAGGTGTCCCTTCATATAAGCATCACAAGCCTTGAGAATATAGTGGCCACGTCTTCTGAAATGTTGGACGACAAGCTCTTCGAAGTCCTGTAAACAATCATGCAGTTACATTATAAGGAATAAGTTCATTGCTCAAAAATTGTATTAACGCCTGACATACATTAAAGTTACTGGGCATATACAGAGAATAAAAGAGGGAAAAAACAGAGACAGAAAAACAAAAGACGAATAGTATGTGGAGAGAGTATTTCTGGGGATGATTGTTTGGACCAGCACTCTCAAGACTCAACATAGACGATAGGTTTAGAATTTAGATCAGCTATGCACAAAAGAATTTGGTCTACCTAACCATTATCATGGAAGGTTCTGGGGAGAATTTACTATCAAGCCAATTTTGTAACACATTACATATAATAAATTAGCTTGCCACAGAAAAGTAATGTGAATTTGTGATAAAGAAGAAGAAAGCCAAAATCAAATGTCGATGACTTTCCAAGGAAAATGATGGAACAAACAACTTGGCAGGCAAAAATGAGTTAAATCTGGTTTTTATCACCTTTGGAGGTTTCCGCATCAGATACATCATTGTCTTACAGTTCAACAAATATGTATTCTCATTGTAAGACAACGAATTTTTCTCCCCTTCAGCTGTCCCAATTTGTTTATCATATCCCGCTTCATTGAAATATGGCTTGGAATTTAGTACTAGTCCCTGGAGTGAAACCAGGACTTGAAGAATGCTTGATGATGAAGGATCCCAAACCTCATTTCCTCTGCCTGCCCATGTATTCAAAAGACTAAGGCAGACTTTCCCTTCCTCGTATAAATTTGGATTTATTCGCCACCCTCCAGAATGATAATATGCTGACTGCATATAGAGCAATTACAATATTTGTATGTAAATGTAAAGTATTAGCATGGATAACGCGGAGGGGTTTGATATAATATGAGCAAGAAAAAGGCTAGAGATATAACATGATTAGTTTTCAAGCTTGAAAGAAAGAATTGTGCAAACAAACCAATATCATGTTCTCTTACAGGTGGAACGTCAGGATATTCTGGTGGGAGGTGAAAATCAAAGAAGAAAAGGCCATCTTGATAAGGTGTGCCATAAGGTCCAACTATCACCGCCCTCAAAAGATCCATTCTATCTTCATACACACGCACATATATCCCCTCTGTTTAAAATAATTTTACTTTTAGAATGAGAGCAGTGATTGTCTCAACATGATAACAAGAGTTCAAAATAGAACTGAGAAAGAGTTACCATACCAGGGAGATTATTTCGAAGAATGTTCCAATCTTGTTGAACTTTCTTGAGCCACTTCCTACCAGCATTATTCTGTAGTGGAAATTTTTCAAAATTGATAAAACTAATGATCAAAAAAGGATGACCAGAAGGGAAACTGAGAGAGATGCATAATCTTCCTGTATTAATTCTTTCATTCTTCTTTTTCTTTTCTTTCAGGAGTTAGTGGTTGTGTACAAAATATGAACTCACCTGCCCATGTGCACCAAGAAAATATTGGTCACGAGGATCTCTAACAATATCAAAGCCTTTGAACCTAGAAGTGTCCTCATCACATGGACCTGGAGCAGCTCCTGGAGGTTTCAAGTTACAAAGAGCTTCAGCAATTTCTAATAAATCTTGGGCCTCAGCTGCATCATTTACCTCCCCCTTTCCATTAGTAGGAAACTTTGCAAGATGATTGTCACTATCACTAGGTTTCTGGCAGCTCGATTCATTGTTTGTGTCTCTTTCTACAGTGTCTCTTTCTAGGGTGGATCCCTCAGATTGAAGTTCATCTTCACTTATGGAATCCAAATCCATTAGATCCGTGCGCTGTCGTCCCCTTGAAAATATTCCAGAGGCAAGTCTAGTCACAAATCCAAGTGCAGCAAGGGGAATTGAGAGAGCTCCATTCTTTCCAGAATTTTCTGCAACAATGTCACTCTCCTCAGATTCCCGTCTGATGTCACGCTCATTGTCTGTCCTGAGGTCCTATATACCAACGTGCAAAAAGTGTATTAAGAAAAATGTAACAAAAATTTTCTGTAGAAGTAAAAATTATAAGGAAATGACATTTCCAGCTTTTATCACCAGCATATGAAGTAACTACCGACAGATCAAATTCCGCAAGACATAATAGCCATTTGCTTGGTGGCCTTTGATATAAAATGTGTCCATACATTTGATAAAACAGTCAGAAACAAAAGTTGTTGCATTAATAAGATGGTAAGGCCACATGTTGTTTGTTGGTAGTTATTTTAGAAGAAAACACAGTTACTAAGTTTGCCAAATTGCTTATGCTTAGAGCTTAAATGAGGCTTAAACTAATGGATCATAATACATTCTGGTCGTTACATCAGGTAATTTCATTTAGCCCCTAGTGGGAGGCTCGCACGACGGGCTATAGATTTCTCGAAACAAACGAAAAGCTTACGCTCTGACCCAAGTAGCATGAGACACGTGGAATTCCGTGTGAATCCTTCAGATTTTTCATCGTTCCAATTCTGAAAATCAACCCTCAGATTTTTCATTTTTAAAAGCGCATAATTAGCTCTGGATTAGAGAAAAGGGAAATGGTGCACTATCAGTTACTCTCAAATTGTCTCTGATTCTCCCACAGAGGTTAATGTAAACGTTTGAGAAAAGATAACTTTCATTGTAATAAAGCTTTTACCCTCAGGAGGTTCCCTACGGTTTCTTATCAAAGTTCAGTTGTAAAAAAAATTAAATCCGTGCCTAGAATTGGCTCATTAGAAACTCAATTGACTTGAATTAAAAGTAACTTCTATTTTTTATATTCAATCAAATTAAGCAGGACTCACTAAGCCATTTAACGCAAGAAATATACATAAAGACACCAAGCTACTCAAGCTCAACAGGAGCTTCTTTGAGATTGGTCATTAACCTAAACAGGCAGGAGTAGAAACAATCTTAAGCTTTGTAAGAAATCAAGGCAAGACTGAACAACCTACGGTCTGCTAAAGGAAAGCTATTATCTAAGAACTTCCATTGCAAGGCAATGTGGATTCCACATATAAGGGTCATTCAAATCACGTCATTTGAAGTTGAGGTAGGTGAATTAATGTAGATCCATCCCCCAAAGGAATTAGACATGATTTTTTTTTATCATCAAGCTTGAGTAACACTCAGAAGAACCAAATGAATCCATAGAAAATCTACGTGTTGCCGACATATTGAGAAAGTTTTTGCATCAATCCAAACCCAGACACGGGTTGATAGTGTTGTTTTTCAAAGAAAGTGATCTGGTAAATCCAGAAGTTAAAGTAAATTAATTAATGGGGGGCATGAAAACCATAGTTCCAGGAGCCACTTACCTGCTTGGAATTCTCAACAGACTCCGAATCATCATCTTCAACAGTTTCCCAGCTACCTGCATCATCGTTAGCTTCACTTCCAGTGGCAATAGACTCATCATCGTCACGACCAACAACATAAATTGCCTGCGGACCAACCTGAAACAACAGAGATCTTCAACTAAGAACGATGGCAAAAGAAACTATGGTAAATCTCATTAAGATACAGTATCATCGAATTACTAAGATTCAATTTTGTTCTTCTAGTTCCATTCTCCATTCCAACAAGTATGCTACGGTATAGTTGACAAGTAACAATGGTAAAATAATATATAAATCCAGATGACAAAACCAGAAATATCAACTGCTCAAATTGTTAGTGGGGTGCAAGGAGAGAGAGAAAAAAAGATATACAGAACAAGTAGAAGAGCTTTAGAGTGAAAATATTCTCCTAATTAGAAATGGAGGGAAACTTCCAAATAAAAAATAAAATAAAAGAGAGTAACATGAAACTTCAAACATACCGTTGAGATCATCCCATCAGCCCAGGTAACTTCAATGTCACCATTCTTTAGCCCGGTGATGTTCCCAACCCAAGATAGATCTGAAAAATCACTAGGCACATCATCACCAGATGAGGTCTGTACTTTCTTACTTCCAGGATGCCTTTTCTTATCTTGCTTAGATTCATTTGAACCAATAATCTGGTTTGGTTCTTCAACAGACTCCATGGAAGAATCCACTTTCCCTGGTACAGAAACAGGCGACAACCGAACAACTACATCTCCATAACAATAGTCATAGTCAGGATGCCCCTCTAGCTCATAAACACTTACTACTTCCTCTCCATCAAACTCTCTGGGGACCTCTGCCCGGGCAACTGGCTTTAACCACCGAACAATAGCTGTCCGCTCTTTTGCATTGACACTTTTCACTACTCCAACACGTCTTATCTCAACAGCATCATCACTGTCATCAGAAGCCTTCTCCACTACATACTGTTCAGCAACGAACTCATGATCACCAGGACTATCAATGGGGATCAAAGATGTGGAGTCCAAGTCCCGCTTTATTGTTCCATCCTGCCAGGCAACATCAACTTTCGTCATTGTATTGACAATCAAAACAGCCCTCTCAAAATTTTCTATTTTCTTTCGGGCTTTCTTGTCCTTCCTGAATACAACTTTACGGATCTTTTTACGTGGCAGGGGCCAGGTCTCATGGACACTTTCCTTTGCAACTGACACGGAACTGGTGCATATATCCAATTCTTCGGGGGCATTATTCTCGAATGTTTGGCTGTTTATATCCAAAGAAGCATCTTTATTATTTGCCATTGGTTTACTATTCCCATTTGATTCCTCTGAATTCCTCACTTCTGCATCAGAGTCATCTTCTGTTTCAGCAGCTTCTGGTTCATCTTTAGCAGAACTGGAAGTCTCTAGTTTTGATAATCCCTTGTCCAGGCTCGTGGAGGATGATACAAGAGATGATGGAAGAAGGCACCAATCACCCAACTGCCAGTTTGCATGTGCAAAACAAGATAATAATTTTAAGTTCTTGGGACTCTGTTCTGCAGCTGGGGTAGTAGCAGAGTCAGGCCCATACCCAGCAGACGCAATCCAATAAATAAACACAGAACCAATGGTGACTTTCGTTACAGTACCCTCCAACCGATTAGCTTTCCACAATCCAGATAGCCACCTAGAATTTTTGAAAACTGAGGAGGAGCTTGCCTTAACACGCTGGCCCGGATGATATGGAAAGTGTCCATCTTCAAGAACGTTCTTATCAACGGGTTTTAGATGGAGTGGATCAGCTTTCGTAACTTTACATACAGAGCCATCATCAAGCAAAACCGTTACATTATCCAAAACATCATCAACTCTACCTAGCCAGGGTCCAAGGACTACATAATCACCAACGGTAAAATCCCGAATGCGTTTCAAGTTTCTAGATGATATACATTTCAAAACAGATCCGTCGTGAGTTAATAGATCAACAGAGATATTAACATCAACCACGATACCTATTTGATTAGTTGGATCAGAGGCAGCAGCAACATAATCCCCATGTAAAAATCCTCTATCTACAACTGTCACATCAGTAGTAGTTTCTGTTGTTTCGGAATCATCCATCCAGAGAACTCTAACTTGGTCAGCAGAAAGAGGACTGCTCTTACTGCTATTATTGTCAGTAATTTCTTCAGCACTCTCATCAAAATTTCCATTATCCACATCACCATCTTCATTAGAACAAACTTCATCATCCTCATCATCATCCTCATCCCCATCCCCATCTTCATCATCAGATATGCTGCTATCTGAATCTGAGTCACCAGCAACTTCGGTCACAATGCCTATCTTACTGTTAGTTTTGCTTTTTACAACATCTTGTCTGTAAATATAGGAGACATTCTGCAAGTTCATAAGAATTGGTTCATTTCCATAGGTCGAGCGCACGTCAACACTAGGTGCATTTGATGAAGAATCACCTTCTCTTACGTTGTCTTCTTCAGTAGCAGCAGAGGTAGGTTTGTCAAAATTGGAAATATTACAATGCTGTCCAGATTCCATCTGCAGAAGAAAAAGAAGAAAACTGTCAAAAATCATTAGAAACACTAACAACCAACCTATCACACAATTAAGACACTTATCTATAATGACCAGGTGGAGAACAATCATGGTTCATTCCAAATGCATGAAGTTCAACAGTGCGTCAAAAATTATGTGTTTCTAGTATCCAAAACACACAGAGAATATGTATATCACAACGATGCAAGCCTAATTTTCTTTAAATCAAACCAGTCTACTGGATCTGGAGGACTCGTCTCCAAATGAGGAGATCAACATTATTTAACCTCCCAAAACACATCCAAATAAGAAGTATATTGAACACTAAATGCATATACTATGGAAACTCCAACCGTTAAATGACAAATAGTTTCAAAGTAGGAGGATTCAGACATTTAGCCATAAATGGGAGTGTAATTTGAGAAATCACCATTTTCAAAAACTTTTGCAAATATGGCCAATGGGCCATCTATGTAAATAGATTAAAATAACCTTTTAAAAAAAGTTTCAATAACTTCTGCAAATATGGCCATTTTTAATGTACCAAACCCCTACTCGCAAACCCACCACCAGCCATCGGTGCAGGCAGCTGCACCGGCCAAAAGAAGTTCCAATTTGTCTAATTTCCTCCTTTACTCTTTGTTCCTAACAAAGCTTCAGATCCAAAGAAACCTTCTTTAGCATTGACTTCTCGCATTATTTTCTTGGATTCCCACACACACACACTCTGTCTCACAGCCCGACCATCTCTGAAGTACATCTACTTCACTTCAATTTAATTGAATGGCTTCAGATACCAACATCCACTAAAAACTTTCCCGCTAGTCCCCAGCCCGACCCGGTCAACCAAAACCCCCACTATTGCAGTCCAAACCAAATCTACAACCAATGCCCCAAACAAAATTCAAGTTGCACTGACGAACTCGACAACCAAATGTCATGAAAACTCAGATCTCGACATAACTCGACAAACTCAACCACAAAATGTTGAACTCGACAACCAAATCTCGTAACTCAGATCTGTAATATTCAAATCCAAATCTATTCTCTCGTATGTTCTTCCCCGTTTCACCATTTCCTGTAAAACAATATGCCTATGGGATGAAGATGGGTCTTTTTCATACAGAAACGAGGGTCTTCTTCTCACAGATGGGTCTTCTTCATATATGAATGGGTCTTCTTATCACAGAAAACATAGCGGAAGAAGCAGAACAGAGATCTAGCAAAATGGACCAGAGATGCCAGCAAAATAGGTCCTGGAGTTATAATTGGTCTCGAACCATACATTTGGGATATGTGGAGGAAAACTTTACAGCAATAGGGAATTCCAGTCCAATTTTTCAAAAATGGCTAATTTTAAGAACCCACTAAAAGAAGTAGCTATTTTCCAAATGTGTCTTTCAAAATGGGCATTTTGTCCAATTTCCTCTTCAAAGTATGCTATAGTTGGTGTCACAGAAATGGGAACTTGGACTTCGAAAATTTTAAATTACTTTTCATGAATTCCAATATCATGGCCCATTCGGAGCAGTAAAATCATTAACAAAAAGTTATTTCATATAACAGAAATCTTTTTGTTCACCAAAAATAAAGATTTATTCAAAAATACCCAACCATAAGATGCTCATCCCTGGGTGAGGAAAGTAAGAAAGGGGGAACGACATTCACAATCACCTATTTTGCTGCAACGTGAAGTATTGTAGCATAAATGAGCACAGTTGTATTGTGCTTGCCATGATGTGTTACTTCCCTTGGTATAATGCACCAGTTCTTTTACATTCACGGAGGGCTTGTTTGTACAAATGGAAAGATTCCTTCAAAATAAATAGATTTTTCGTCTAGAATCCTCTTCGTGAGTCAAAAATTTTGAAAGAAAAAAGATAACAAAAAGGGAAAGGTCATTTGCCTCCATCAAACATTAGTACAATGATTTAGTTGACTCTCAGCCTAGGGGGAGTCGACTAAACCTAATTTTGTGGTTATGGGATCAAACCCCAGCATTTAGTGTAATTTTTCCTATGTCTCTCATTCTAGTCACAGATTCCTATAACCCGGAGCTGAACCTACTCACAGTTCAAATAAATAAGGTCCAAAAAATAAATAAATAAAATCCAACTAAATCGGCTTAAAAATTTACCGAACTGTTCACCGCTCCAAGATTGATATAGAAGTAGGAGGTTGAACTCATGCGTTATGTGGAATGCACGGAACAAGATCAAAGATTTTTTCTCTACTCCCAAGATCGCAACCCGACAATCCATCTATTATAATGCAATGTAACCAATTGTCCCTTGTCAATGTTAACTTGTTAATAGGCTTTAAGATATACTACGTTCGGTGCATGGGAATGAGGACTTGGATCAAAATATTAAAAGAAAATCATACAAATTTGAAGTGAATTTCATGAATCTCAAGTTTTTATGTGCCTCTCATGCTGCCAAAACAGCCATGTGGAGATTATTTCACATAATACAATCACCCTTTTCTTTTAAAAATATACATTAAAATCACAGGGCTCGGTATGACAAAAAACTAAGAAGATTCTCCAAGACAGCTAACTTATCTACAAACAGAATAAGTCAAATAGGATTATCCTAGGTCATCCTGTTCAATAAAGTAAAACTTCTGGATTTAAAAAGGTGCAAGAAAAATGATGTGCAAGGCCTCCTGAAAGTTTTGTGAACTACAGAGAAATCTGCCTGAATCAAGTTGACTTCATCTAATTCTTGTGTGACCATATATCATACCCCCAGCATATAATACTTTTAACTCACTTGTTTTACACTTTCACGTTATTTCTGTCTGGTTACCATAACAACAACAAAGCTAGAAATAACCAATTAATTATAAATCAATCGGGCAAACGGAAAAAATAAATAAATAAAATAGAACTAAAAAATTAAAAATAAAATAACCCTACGCCAGCTCGAAACCTACCGCTCATCCAAACTAGATACAGCTAAAAGAGGAGCTAAATTCATGTTTTACATAAAAATGCACAAAAACGAGATCAAATCATATCTCTCGCGGATCATTTCAAATTATATATATATATATAATACCTTTGAAATCGGAAAGCGCTTAAACGGAGAGAGAATATAGATTCGAGAGAATGATTAAAGAATAATAAAATGAGCTGCTCTATTTATTGTGTTCCGATGATCTTGAAACCAATTTTTTTTTCTGCTGTTTCTCGAAAAATAAAAAATGAAGAAAAGAAAGAGGTTATGAAGGTATCAGAAATGGAGCTTATAGGCTAATAGTTGAGGGGTTTGGGGCATTGTTGTCATTACGTGCCGTAGAAGTGTTTTCTGATGTGTACTTGCCTAAGAAATTAATTAGAAATGATAATTCATTTAATTTTAGGGAAAATTGCATCAAACGGTTCTCAGTATTTATATACTTTGCATTTCAGTCCCAGCTATTATTTGGACAACTTAATCCCTACCCTTGGATGAATTCAATCCAATTCTATAAAAATTAGAAGGCAAAAAAAAAAAAAAATTTATTATAAAAACGAAAAATAAAGTTCTTCTTCTACCTCACCCTACCCTGACACCACTCAACATTTACCACCACCACCATTAGCGCTAATGCTACCATCGATCTCTCCCAAATGTCAATTGAATTCGGCATCAATTAGAGGGTGGGGGATGATTACAGAGCTCAACTCCGATGATAGTGCTAGTGTGGTGGTCGTTGATTTAGTTAGTACTGAGTTGGGTGGAGGTGGAAGATCTTTTTTTTTTTTTTTAATTCTGTTCTTTTTATTTTCTTTCTTTTTTACGATTTCTTATTATTCTTTTAGTATTTTAATTAAGAATAATGGAATGACTATTTTCCCTTATGAGTTTGCTGGTTAAATTCATTAACTAAAGCATAATTGGATGGAATCCATCCCCCTTTAAATGAATGTCATCAATTTACAAAAGTTGGAAAGCCAGTTGTCCAAAAGAAAAAGTTTAGGAACGAAAGTGTAAAATTGTGTCAAGATTAGAGACGTTTATTGCAATTTATCCTTAATTTTTTTCGTTATACGTGTATTATCACATGTGATTGTATATGCAAACATATATATATTCATTTAAATCCAATTTTCAACACACTTATTAAAAAAATTGACATGTACATAATATTCATAGTGTCAAATGTCCTCGTAAATTGATAACAGCGAAACTTGAATTCATATCTTTTGTTTGAATCTTTTAAAAATTAGAAAAAAAATTATTTAAATGATATTTTCAGCTGAATCTGTTTATATAAGATAATGCAAAATGTTGAATTCCGTATAAGATAATAACCCTCTTGTAGAAATATTCTAACTTGAATGTAGTATTGTGATCAAGCAAAGTATGATGCTTTCTTAAAGCAAGATGGACAAAAAGAAAGGTACAACTTCTAACTTCAATTTTACATGCATTTTTCGAATATTACAAACTTTATCAAGACGTTAAAAAACTTATTTAGATAAACTTAACTCTGAGAAGTTTTGATTGAGGTCTAGTTAGTCGAAGAACAATTTTTATTTTGATAAAATAATTAACTCAATGTATTCAAGCAATATCGACTCGAGCTAAACTATTCTAGTTTTCAAGCTTGTCTTTTTGGATCGAACTCAACCCTGACAGAGAGCCATCTCAATTAGACTACCATCAAAATCACTCATTTTTCAGTTGGGCAATAATGCAAACTTTTTAGTAATATTCTATCTCACTTGAATAGGAAAATATGGTACATTGGTGCGTACAAACTTTTAATGTGACCTTTGATAAATAGGCCATCTTAAAATGAGTTATGGACTATAACAGGTTTTTTTTCCAAATTTAAAATTATTTGGTTTGTTGAAGTTTGACCCAAATTTCGTTGGATTTTTTATGGACCATTTGAAGAATGGTATTGGAGGGATAAAAGTTGGACATTGGAGTCTTTGGAGCATTAATTTGAGCGACCTAGACACCATTTAGGAAGAAGAAATGGATTTTGGATCCGAAACAAAGCGACTAAGCGTCATTTGGGGCGCTAGACTGCATCCTGCTTTTTTGCACGAGCACCGCATGCCCGCTTGGCGCTCACCTACCACTCAAGCAGCAATAGTATTCCGAGAATAGTGTTTTCATTTCTGTGGATCATTTTTAACCTCTTTCTATCTATAATATATTCTTTCGAGTCCTATATATACTCCACGTGGTTATTGATTTTGAATTAAGTCTTAGACTTCATAGAATAGAATTAGAATACAATTCATTGTATCTTTTTTCTCCTTATGAATAAAATTCTTCTCATCTGCCTGTGATTTTTTCCATGTTAAGCCTTTATATTCTTGTGTTGACTTCTTTACTTCATGTTCAATCATATCTCGCTATTCTCTAGTAATTGGTATTAGCATGCAACTACTTGGTAAGATTTGTTAACAAGTGGTATCAGTGCAATGCATAATTCTTCAAAACCAATAGCTCAATTTCTAGCAAGTGATATCATAGCATATATAATCCTCGTTAGATTTCTAATAAGTGGTACCAGAGTTAAGGTTTGGCAGTTTTTGGGAGAGCGGGTTTTGGTTTTATTTTAGATCGAGATTTGATCATCTCAGAATGAGATTTGATTGTTTTGGGATGACAAGTATAAAGTTTGATATTCTGCTTTTTTATCGCAACAAGACTTTTTGTTATGGCCATTTTTTTTTTGGATGCTGGAGAAGAAGCAACGTAAGGATTGAGTTATATGTTTTAAAGGTTCAACAATCACGTTTGATGTAGCTGTCGTTGAATTCAAGATTAGATCTTAGAGACATTCGGTGAGGTTTATTTGGTTGCTTATAGTTTAATAAACTTTAACTCAGATAGAGTTAGTTGTGATTGAGTTGCTCGTGATTCAGGCAAATTTGGTATTGAAGAACTTGCCACTAGTTTAGGTGGAGTTAGTTTTGATATTCTTGCTTGTGATTCAGGCAAATTTGTTATTGAAGAACCTACGACTAGCTTAAGTGGAGTTAGTTTTGATATTCTTGCTCATGACTCGAGCAAATTTGGTGCCCAAGGTAATTCTAATAGTCAACAGTGCTTGGTTCTACGGAGTGTTGGATCAATCAGCAAATTTTATGGACTCAGGTGGATTTTGAGTTTGGTTTAGTATCGTCAGAGTTTACTTTAGGATCTACATTGAAGAATACATCTCAATCAAGTTCAAAAGCTATGAATATTTTGCTTTGTCACCATTACCAATGGTATCATTGTATTCAATTGTTAGAGACAAGCCCATAAGAGATATTAGGCCTCCACATAGGCACAGTGAAGCTGATATAGTTATTTTTGCTTTAGATGTGGTTGAAAGGTATTGATTGTAACCAAGAACTTTCCATTAAAGCAGTTCGTTGTGTTGATTTTGTTGCAGAACTTGTTTCTGCCTTGTTTGGTAATTATCAAATTATTTGTGATTTTATTGCTCGTGGCGGTAATTCGAGCAACTTTGGTGTCCAAGATAATTATGTTGAGTAGGGCTTTGATTTAGTTAATTTTTTTATCGTGCTTGCCCTAGTTGGACTTTGTGGAAGAGATGGAGAAATTTGTGTTAAAGTTAAGTTTTTGTTGAAGAGTCATTAGTTTATTCCTTACAGTGAAATTTGTATCCAGGTAGAAAATTTTGAAGTTTGTTCATTTCTTTAAATTTGATTCAAGGTGGAGATTTGTTGAAATTTGACCAAAAATTTCGTTAGGTTTTCTGGTTGACCGTTTAAAGAATGGTTGTTCAGGTGATACCTACAAGCGTGCGGGATCGTTAACAAGTAATGGTTTAGAGTGAGTTAAGAGTTATCATCCCACAGTGATTAAATTTAATTCAAGTTTACTAATTAAGTTTGGAATTCGAAGTATGTAAACAAAATGGAGATTTTGATTTTATTTTTGCTAAATTATTCCAAGAACGTAATAAAAGTTTGGTTTTTAATAAATTGTGGATGATTTTGTTTGATCTAGAATTCGCCTATTGATATATATTTCAATTCTTGATTTGTAATTTAGTTTCGTTCATGCATTCATGACAATCGATAAAGCTACTGTATTTAACTTTCTTTTCCAAGACAAATTAATTTTATCTTAACCACAATCCAAATCTATTCCTAACCCGAATTCGAATGGTTAGGAGGCATTAAAGTCTAGATTATCTATATGATTGCACACATGATAAATTTTATTTCTAATATCTATTGCACATATGTTAATTTTGTCGTGTTCTAAACTTATTGTGGGTCTTTCAACACTACAACAAGCAACTAATTATTTAATTGGTCACCAATCAATTAAATAATGTAACGAGTATGTAAAATTAATTAAGAAATGCAAGAAATACTAAATTACTAGTCCTGAATTCGAAATAAATAACAAATAGGGTTCATCTTCATTCAATACAAAAGTGGACATAGTCTAACATATTAATATAGAAATTACAAGAGGAATAATAAAAAAAAAATATCACCCCGATCATAAAATAATTCAAAAGATATTGATCTTCAAGTCCAACGTTGAATTCTTCAAAATCTTGATGTAATTAGCCTTCAATTCTTGCTAGTGATTGATCTCCTCTCTCAAAATATAATAATTGATCTCTTGTTCTTGATGAATTTAATGAAACTATTGCATATGAAGAGGCAAGAGAGCGTTTTTCTTTAATGTATAACCCTGTTCTCCATTTATAAGAGTTAGAAAATAGATCAAAATTGCGTCTAATTTAAGTCCTAAAAGAGTTTGAATTGCGAAAAGAAATTGTTGATTCACACACGCTGTTGTCCTTAAACAGTTTTTAGTATTTTGATCATAATTTTCTCTTTCAATGTCCGATTGAGGTGTTTTAAAGTACAATTTTTCCAATTTGAACGTTTGATATTCAAAAAATGGGTCTCAAGTTGAGATTAAAAATTTGTAGCATATCTATTTTTGCTGGAAATTGATTTATGAAAATACTTCAACTCTATCCCACTCCTTTGACCTCAAACTTTCATCCAA